GTTTGTGTGCGCGCGCGCGTGTTTGCCTGCACGTTTGTGTGCGCGCGCGCGTGTTTGCCTGCACGTTTGTGTGCGTGCGTATGTGTGCGTGCGTGCGTGCGCGCGTGCGTGTTGACCTCACCCGGCTTACCCAACCCCGCCGTCTGGCCGCGACTGTTTCAGGTGATGAACGACGGGTTCCTGGCGTTCGCCAAGCCGCCGTCTCAGTTCGTGAGACAAACACCGATCATCCTGCCGTGGGAGAATTACCCAGAGGAGGTCGACCCAGCCATCATTGCCGTATTCATGTCTGAGATCGACTTCTATGAAGATACGTCATCGGTGAGCGTCCGTATGGATATGCGCATGTGCGCAGGGGACGACTGCACCGTCTCTATACGGGACGCAGATGCACCACCCTAGGACTGTTCACACGTTTAGCGTATATTTCGATGCGATATAAAGTTGGCCATCAACCGATGATTCGTATAGATATGCAATTGATCACAGACGCGCTTCCTCATTATCATTATTCATTGTTTGATCTTATCTATTGCTTCATCTTTGCACGCCCTTATTTTTTCAACATTTTTTTTTTTATAAATGAAGAGCTTGTTTCCAAAAGGTGTTAAGTCCACTTTTGTACTTTAGAAGATATCATAACATTTTCATTTTAGTAATGATCTCTTTGCCTGGAACACAGTTTTTTCACTCTAATATTTGAAGTGAATGGTACTAAGCATGAAAACACACCTGAATATAATCTAGTGTATATAATTGATTTGTAATAAATGTTTGTTTTTTAATAAAATTAGGATTTAGCGTCTTTTGGAAACAAAAATTTAAAACTCATCAAAATAAAAATGAAACACTAATAACTAACCAAAACAGAGGTAATTTATAATAGATAACAATGTTATTAAAGCTTACTCAATGTTTAATAAACATATTTTACAGTTTGAGTTGTTACAAAACCAAGAAAACTGGTCAATGGAAATTACAGTGGTGATTCAGTAATTAGGCAAAATGTTCACCATACATCCTCATTCTGCTCAACAATAGTATAATTAATTAATCATCTTCACCAGAGTCGTTTCATTGGCCTTCCTGATGATTAGTCTTTATATTTTGATGAGTTTTTATTTTTTTTCTGAAATTCGCTAAATCCAAATTTCATTAAAAAACAAAAATTAATTAAAAATTAATCATGTACATTAAATTTCATTCAGGTGTGTTTTCATGCTAAGTACCATTCACTTGAAAATATTAGAGTGAAAAAACTGCGTTTCAGGCAAAGAGAACATTACCAAAATAAAAATGTAATGATATCTTCTAATGGATTTAACACCTTTTGGGACCAAACTCAATATTTGGAGGCTGTTCGTGAAGGAATATACCAACTTTTGATGCAAATGGATATTACACATAATGTAGATGGGGCTATAGTGTAATTTGATGGTACTAATTCATTTTTGACCAAAATGGATTTAACACCTTTTGGAAATCAGCTCTTTAAATAATAATTTTATAATAAATTATTTCTTTTTTTGTTTAAATTATATATATATATATATATATAGGAGAGATAGAGAGAGAGAGATAGAGAGAGAGAGAGAGTAGATAGAGAGAGAGAGAAGAGAGAGAGAGAGAGAGAGACAGAGGAGAGAGAGAGAGAAGAGTCACGAGATCGAGGAGATCGAGCGAGGAGAGAGAGAGAGGCGAGAAGAGGGAGAGAGGAGAGAGCAGAGAGAGAGAGAGAGAGAGAGAGAGAGGAGTAGAGGAGAGAGAGTTCCAGGAGAGAGGAGAGAGAGAGAGAGAGAGAGGAGAGAGAGAGAGAGAGAGCAGAGTAGAGAGACGAGAGAGAGAGTCAGCAGAGAGAGGATCGAGCCTAAGGAAGAGAGGAGAGGAGAGGCGGCGCAGAGAGGGAGAGAGAGAGGTATTAATACTTTCTATATTCTTGTCAGGTATTTTATAGAACAGGTAAAAGATCGCATCACATACTCCGGCAGGAGGAAGCACAGAATAAACTCGAGACAAAGGAACTCTTGCTGCAGATAAACAGCAAATATTCGCGACAAGGGTAGCATCTCTTTCTATTGCTACAAGAAACAGTAACCTGCGCGGCAGCATTACGGTGCCTAGCAAGGCGTGGCTTCACCATTATCTGCATATCTTGGTGGCTGAGCAAGGTCTTGCATCTTGTAGTCGGTTTCATCATCACATTAGCGTCAGCGGCCTTGCGTCAGCGTCCAGTGCCAACGTCCAGCGTTACGGCTCTTTGTGTTTATGCTATCTACTCTTGGTCATATATATACGGTGCTTGCGCCTGAGGTGAGCAGCGTGTAATTGGTCGCCAGAGTCGTGACAGGTGTGATATAATTCCCTTATACAGGTGTGATCGGAGCAACAAAAGTCATCGGCAGCGCTTACCTTCATCACCACCTGGATCGGTCGCACCCCCTTTCAAGATCGACACACGTCGCAGCAACGACGGGGGACCGCCGTTCAGTATACGCGCTTATATATATATATTATATGTTATACTTTACGGTATAAACTATATAACGTCATACATTGTGGGCACCGGTAGTAGTGGCTGCAAATTGTATACGTGTCAGTAGTACGGAGATGGGTCATTAAGCCATCAGCTTCATTCTACGATTATTATTAAACCGTTCCAAGTCGCCTGCCGCTAGCACGACGAGGGTGCCGCGTTCTGCGTACAATCAACTATGACGCTCCATCAGGTGGGAGGCCAGCGCCACTTCTGGAGGTCCGCCCGGACCAGGTCTCGAGGCCCTGGGAGGCGGTCGTAAGTTCTATTTGTTCGTTATTCAGTATGATTATGATTGATGATGTATATTATTCTTATTCTTATTCTTAAATTCATTTATTCCTACCAATTCTCATTCTTATCCTTATCCTAATCCCTTATCCTTACAATCCCTTTATGTCTTATCCTTATCCTTATTATTATTCTTATTCTTATTCTTATTCTTATTCTAATTACTATTATGTTTATATATATTATAATGAGAATATTTATGTCCTCACTGCCATTCTTAGCTATATATGAGGCTCGCTTTGCAGAAAAACACTGCATAGTTATGACATCCTGATATCTAAGATGTCGTAACTATTGCACAACACTTAACACTAAAAGTTATTAACCGTGACCGTGGATCATAACCATTTACGATGTTTCTGATGACGGCATTCTGAGTGCAATCATCCATCTGGCCTAGCATTGACGGCGTGGCCGCCTTCGCTGTGTTTTCTTCTCCCGTAGATCGGCTTTAACGCCGGTAACGGCACCGAGTGGTGGGGTCTGGCTCCGTTCTCCGGCACGCAGGGAGTCGCTAGGATCGACGAGTTTACGAGCGTCGGCGACACTCCGGGCAGGTGGGTCTTCCGCGTCGACGAGGTCATTGAGAGAGGAGGCTGCACGAACGTGACGCAGGGTGAGGCTTCAGCTAACCCCCGCCCCCCACAAACATAGCACTAGCCTTTATCCTTACCCTAACCGCGTCTCTAACACTATCCCTGACCAGAACCATAGCAATTGTCTTCACTCTTATCCTAACCGCATTTCTAACGCTAACTCTAACCACACCCCACGACGATAGCACTATAATAATTACCCTACCCGCATCCCTAGCACTAACCCTTATCATGATCATAACCCCAATTGTAAACACAATGCTAACCCTAACCTAACCGTAACACGCTTTTCCAACCCTAACAATAACCTTTATCGTAGCCCTAACGAGAACTATAACCCTAAACATTGCCATAACCATAAAACTACTCGAACACAAATCATTACACCATTGTTGATTAGGTTATTAGGTAGCAGTCCGTAATTGCATAAATATTAGCAGTCGTGCCAGCGTCTCTCGAAAAGTCACCACACGGTACTTTCGCCGTTCAGTAATAAATCCTTCTCAAATACTAAAATCTCAAATATCTCAAAATACTCAATACTCAAATCTAAATCACCTAATTAAACTAACGTAAGAATGTGCAAACAGTTGATTAATAATTGATAAATAATTAATTGTCTAACTGATTTAGGTAGTAGGCCTATAACTAAAACAGACAGCAAACTCACATAGGTGCAATAAACCAGGCAGGGTAATACAGACGTGATGACACGGGTATGATAATGAAGGTGTGTCTGTATTTACCTGCGCAGGTGTTGCCCTGTCCTATCCATCGGTTGGAACCATGTTTGGCGGTGAATCCATCAACATCTCCGGACCGTGCTTCGTGGAGGGGCCAGAGATCAAGGCGAGGTAAGAGTACATAACGAAACAACATTACGTGCTAACTCTCTTCTCTCTCTTTCTTTCTCACTTTTATAAATATAATTATTTATTTATTGCAAGGAATCGCCAGCGTAACAGCATGTGTTGGACATTGCATTAAATATATTTTACTCGGTTTTCCTCAATTATTTTTATTATGTCATGCGCGGATTTTGTGGAACCGTGGTGCATTCGGTGCTATCGTATTTCTAAGTTAATGTTAGGGCTAGTTGAGTCGATTAACTGCTAATTCGAGCCGTATAGGTCGCTGTTTTGTCTGCGGGGCAACCCTGACGGAACCTCGTTGCTCGGTGTATGTATAGGTTTGAGACGCTAACCGTCGACTGTCTCTATGTGAACGCGACTCGAGCTACCTGCATCCTTCCCATGTTCTTCAAGAGCGGAGCTGTGCAGATGGAGATCTCGCACGATGGTTCGATGGCGTACAACTTCAAGGGCTGGTTCTTCATAGGTGAGTGTCCTGGCGCGCGCCTCTCGCGCCGGTCCTTGCATTAATAAAAAAGATGTAATCATATATATATGATTACATATTTTTTATTAATAATTGTAACGTAATTATTTTTCGATTGGAGGTAAGGTCAATTGGAATTACAGGACTGTAATTGTTAGATTAATTGCAAGGTGCGCGAGTGCACGCACCACACACACACACACGCACACGCACACGCACACGCACACGACAGCACACGGAAGCAACCACGCACCGACGCACCACCAACACGCACGCACGCACACACACACACACACACGCACACACACACACACACACACACACACATACAACACATACACACACACAACCGAACCAATATGATAGTGTAGCTAAGTTAGCTAATATATTCATACACTAACAGCGGAGTCGACAAGATACGAACCGCCAAGAATTACCCTGGAGCCAAGCAAATGGTGGACGCATAGCTGGCAGGAAGACGAGGAGATTGAACAGGGCATAGACTTGGAGATTGTCTGGGATCCGTTTAACATCACCTATAAGCCCGATGCCCGACTTGATATAGGTAGGAAGAGAACACGTGCTGCCTACAAAATACGATGCTTGCTAATTGTCCCTTCCACTTGATAACCACGTGATAACCACGTGTCCCATCCCGAATATTGTTGCTAGGGACATGTGAAGATCTTTGCCACACTGCCAAACATTGTCTTTTAGAACGTCTAATGACAACGATGATTGGCTAAAGTTGCCTGTAGGCTGTAACGCCGGCTGGATAGGGGAATTTCGTGACAATGGTGCTAACGATTGCTCGATTGAAAATCTGTCTTCCTCCCTCCTATGTACACGCCCCCTCGATGGCTCTTTCTCGTCGCTTCTCACACTCTCTAAACGCACTCGGAGTGTCTCCGAAACTGTGAAAGCATCGTGCACGGCTAGGTTGCTTCTCTAGGTATCTGGGGATACCGCGAACTGGCGAAGGAAGGCAGATGGGAGTTTATAGACGTACTTGCGACCGGAAGAGCCAACGACGGTGTCTACAAATTCAAGCCAAAGTCGATGACACGTAATAACGAGCAAGCGTGGAGCAAATACGATTTTGGTGCCATTCGTCTCAACGTGACGAATTACGAATGGGAAGGGTAAGACTGTATGCTTACTGAATTACTCTTACGATTGCTCATGCTGAAAATAGTTGCAATGTAATGTCATTATTATACACACGCGCTCACGCAGACACGCGGGCACCCTCGCGCGCGCGCATGCACACACGTACGCATACATAAATACAAATAACGTTTCTTTACTACTTTCAGACATTACTGGAGTCAACCCACTCCACTAGCCTGGTATAACCAGCCTGGCTATATAAGAAAATGGGGTAGCAACTGGCCCTATGATAAATGCATGAAATGGCACGACCTTGACAGGTATATCGCACGTATATTCTTTACGCGTAAATATTCAGCGATCTAAGATAAATCAGATACAGGGAAAAACAAACATTAGAAACATCGGTTACGTTACAAACGCTGCGGAAATATAACGCAATGTTCACTTAATTTATTAATTAAATAGTTAAATCGTAATACGTGGTTAATAGTTAAAGAAGGCTAGGTACATAATTCGTTCGACCAGCGAGTGAATCGGCTAAGTAATCGAATTGTTTCTCTCGTCCACGATGACAGCGAGATGACGCCCATTCTGAACAGCTTAAACTACTGCCCATGCACCGTGGGCCTGGCCGAGAGTGACAAGGTCAGATGGGTACCGGACGACCAGTGTAACAAGTACGGTAAACTGGACTGTGAGTTCAACAAAGGAGCTACACACTGCGTACGACAAGCTTACCCAAAGTAAGCGCACTGCTCGTCCGCGAAAATGACTTTTAATCATCACACAGACATAGCGCGTAGATAGTCTACTAGATTACTTCAGTCAATTGCTAGAGGTTCACATACGAGTTTTTGCGCATGCGTCCGAGTACGTTGAGACGTACCTGTTTCCGTTGCTTATACATAGTCGATATAAAAAATATATAAAGGGTCTTCACATGGAAAAATAGTTGTCTGATATATGAATTGATGAATCCCGGAATCTAGATTTGGCAGCCTTATTTGTACAGCCTCTTATTTCACCGATTGTCTTTTGAGTCAACCGGAGTCAAAAATAGTAGTAGTTCGTGAATAACTCGCGTGATTTCATAACATAAAATAATACGAAAATGAACTTTAGAGTACGTATAAAACTCTGACGTCATACACACACACACCGCATACGTCACGACTCCTCGATTATTCGTCAGCTTATTGGGAGCCAGTCAGCACTGCTGCTACGACATCCGCGGCAACCTGATGCACGTGTTCGATTCTCGCTATGGGAGCAAGCCCGACCGCTCGCACCCGTGGGGCATCTACCCGCACCTGTACCCACCCAGAATTCCCGACTGGTGCCACTACCAGTATGACGCGATGCCCTATTACTTCTGCTGCGAGTGGGGCGACTTCTGCGACCCGTTCTTCTGGCGTAGACCGTCCGACGATTGCCAGACCTACATGCCTCCGAAGACAGGTGAGTGGCCGCTGCATGCTGCGATGCTGCTCGGAAGAGTGGCCCGTACACATTTTGCAACCCCAATTCACTATAACCCTCAACCCCAAGCCTAACCTCAACTAATCCTATCCTTAACTAATTCTAACCTTTTTTCGCAACCTTAGTACTTCTCTCAACCCTAACTAGCCCTGGCCCTCGCCATAATTCTTACTAACCATAATGCTCTCCGCAACCCTGACTAACCCCTACGCTATCTAACCCTACTCTGATTTTACCTAAATCGTACTACTAACCCTAAATAACTCTAAGGTTAACCAATCCCAAGCCGATCACCAAGTCTAACCGTAAGTGCTTCCAGTCCTGGCACTAAACTATCATCCCACATTGTGTTAGCGTACCTTATTATAGCCATTTCCATCTATCCTATACACATCTAGCGATTGCATTCGGCGATCCTCACTTCATCACCTTCGACGGCCATGAGTACTCGTTCAACGGTAAGGGAGAATTCACGATGTTCAACTCTGACCACCATCACGAGGACAAGAACTTGAACTTCCCGCACAAGATGACGATTCAAGGCAGATTCGAGCAGCCGCCCAACGCCACCGTCTGTACGTACGCTGCATGTGTTTTTTTATGTATTCGGTCATTCTTTGTTGATTTACGCGCTGGTTCGTGTTGTTTGTAGGCTTGTTCGTTTGTTGCTTGGTTGGTTCTTTTGTTGATACTTTGGTTGCTGGCACGTTTATTCAATCGCTCGCTCGTTTCTTTGTTCGTTCGTTTCTTCCTTGCTCCCTTACTTCTTTCCTCCATGCCTTCTTTTGTTCGCCTATTAATTAGACGTTTAATCAATTAATTAATTAATTAATCACTTTCTACGTTCATTCATTCATTTAAACGCTTAGCAGCAGCAAGTTGCAACGGTCTATGAGCACCGGTAAACCCATGCATACATAACGACTACACCACAGCGGCCGGCCCATTGCGCTGCCCTTACTGCTTGCCGACGTTCGTTACTCGATTATAATGTCTCGTGATATAATGTCTAGATTATTATGTCTCGATTATATTGTCTCATGATCTGTGCGCTTGTCCCCACTGCTTGCAGATGTCGCCGAGTCCAACGCTACAATGCTGACGGCGGTCGTAGGCCAAGAGAACAACTCTGCGGTCGTGGAGGTACAGTCGCGAGCCTACCACGCTCGTTGGCGCTATAAGATGACCGTGCTCGTCAACGGACGCAAGGTGTACTTTGACCGATCCTACTACAAGGCGCAGGTGTACGAAGGCGTCACGGGTAGGTGTGACGGCACTATACGAATCGAATATTACACGGATCTTTTACGAGCTGTGGACACAACAACGTACCACTTACAGAGATACAATCGTAGACTATCTCATTCTCTCTTATTCTATCTCTGATTATACATCGAGGTGATGTGACCAATCCTTGTCACTATCTAGTTTCTCTAGCATCACATCTGGCTGCACGCGCCGCATTCACCTCATATCTTATCCTGCAGTTTCGAACCCGTACGTCAACTTGAACCAGTCGGAGATCATGGTTTCGTTCGCGTCGGGCGCTGGATTCCAGGTGACAGAGAACCACGGAGCACTAAACGTCGTAATGTTTCTTCCGCAAGAATTCAAGGTACGCGCTAACGTTCTAATGCCCCTCACGCGCGAGTTCCAGACACGTTCAAACGTAGTCATATTTGTCCCATGCGGATTCAAGACACGTTTAAACGTCGTCATATTCATCCCATGCGGATTCAAGACACGTTCAAACGTCGTCATATTCATCCAATGCGGATTCTAGACACGTTCAAACGTAGTAATCTTGCTTTCACCCGTATTGAAGATTCATTCGGTAAATAAAAAAGCGTAGCTAGGCTGACCAGTGTATATTCAAATTCGTTCAGTATCCTCATATCAACAATTTCAGTGGTCGTATTGAGAAGCTGGGTTTGAAACCATAGCATACTCCCGCTCCGGAAGACTACCCTATACAATACCGTATAATTATACGCATGGGTAAGCCGTATACCGGTAGAGAGTACCGTATAAAACTTACTGCCACATCGGCAGGGTCTTTAACACACTACTAACTCACTACTACACACTATAACACGCTCCACACGCATCTAATTGCCGCGTATGCGTATGCGTATGCGTATGCGTATGCGTATGCGTATGCGTATGCGTATTGCGTGTGCGTATGCGTATGCGTATTGCGTGTGCGTATGTAATTGCAGCCGACCCAGGCTTCTTGACATAATAGCTTGTTGTACTTGCAGTATTTCACGCGAGGTTTATTTGGCACGTGGAGCGATAAGACGGACGATGAATTCCGTACTGCTGCGGGGACGCTCGTTCGTCCGTCGACCAATCGAGAGATCTTCTACGACTTCGGTGAAACGTGTACGTTTGCTTTCGATAACACATATTCGCAAGCTACCGAGGTTTAATATATATATATATAGTATATGCGTACGTTCGGGAGTGTGCGCGTGTGCGCGTCGTTGCCTAGGTATATTCAGAGTATCAATGTGTGGTGATACGCCAGTATCAATTTTTTGCGGCATGTATTGGACTTTTTATACGAATATACAATTACGATATTTTGTACCTTTTCAGGGCGAATTCCTGGTACGACCATGTTTACGTACAAGCCAGGCAAAAGCAGCATGTATTACTACGAGGAAAGCTTCGAACCTGAGTTTGCTGAAAACGACGTAAGTAAAACAAAAACAGATGAAATGACACCTGTAGTGATTATTAGTGATAATGTGATCGCTCTAGGCCAAGAAATGACGTCATTTCTTAGCCTAGAGAACAAGCATATTATCACTACTTCACCAGTCCCTCTCATGTTCCCAAAGTCGTTGTGCATAGAGCAAAATATAACGACTATTACGTGAAACAATGTAAAGAAAAATAATACATGTGAGACTATGCGTAGGCGACGGTACTACACCCAATACAGCTACTCGCTGTTCCAACCGATTGCAAATACTCTCCCTTTCACGCACAGGTGATCCCGCTGCACCCGAACGCCACCATGGACATGAACGGAGTGCTGGCGGTCTGCGGCGGTAACAACTTCTGCAAGTACGATTACATCATGAGCGGCGACCGCTACCTCGCTTCAGGCACAAAGGTCGTGCACGAGACGTACGAGCGCATGGTGGAGGTCGGTCTGAGCCGACGTGAGTAACATGCTGTTCATTTGTTTATTGGTAGGGTATAAGAATGAAGCGGTTATTCAATACGAACTGCATTTTGAGAAAATGAAGGAGAGTGAGTGAGTGAGTGCGTGAGTGCGTGCGTGCGTGCGTGCGTGCGTGCGTGCGTTAGTCAGCGAGTGATTGGATGGGTGGAGGTATACTATATACTATATTATACTACATACTATATACTATATAGGTATGTGTACTAACGGCTTGTGCGATTCTTCCAGAGGTCTCCTGCATGGCTTTGCCGACCCCGTACAATGGACAGAAGCATTACATCAACTATCTAGAGGGCGCCGTCGTTCGCTTCAACTGCCTGCCCGGATTCGAGTTCTGGGGAACGGAGGAGCTTCGCTGTATGCCTAACGGCCAATGGTCGGACGGCATATCAGTGCTATGCAGAAGTATGTGCACGCGAGAGAGAGAGAGAGAGAGCGCGGGGCGGCTCGCTACGGGCATCAGCCGTGTAAACTCGCCAGTATGATTGCGTACCTTGATATATACGCGAGGGTTCACGAAAACTCTTCTACGCCACTTCATTTAGTTTCTCGACAATCAGTTTTCGTGTTATATAGTGGGGGGTGGGGGGGGGGTAGTAGACAGAAGCAAGATGAATAAATGTATGCAATAAATGCCTGTATTCCTACCGCACGCGAGTCCGACGTGCTACTCTGCGTCTCACTATTTCCTTCCCGCGTTCACACTCGTTCTTCATCGTGAATAGGTGAACATGAGAATGTGCAGGCTTATAACTACGCTTATCTATAACTATGCTTACTATAGTACTAACAGGCTTATAACTATAGGCAACCCTAACGCACGCGTCTTGTTGCGGTGTGTTTTTATAGAACAGTAAAAGATCGCATCACATATACTCCGGAAGAGGAAGCACAGAATAAAATCGACAAAGAACTCTTGCTGCAGATAACAGCAAATATTCGCGAAGGTAGCATCTCTTTCTATGCTACAAGAAACAGTAACCTGCGCCAGCATTACGGTCCTAGCAAGCGTGGCTTCTTATCTCATATCTTGATCTGAGCAAGCTTCATCTTGTAGTCGGTTTCATCATCAACATTAGCGTCAGCGCCTGCGTCAGCGTCAGTGCCAACGTCAGCGTTACCTTTGTGTTATTATCTACTCTTGGTCATATATATAGGGTCTTGCCCTGAGGTAGCCGTGTAATGGTCGCGAGTCGTGACAGGTGTGATATATCCCCTATACAGGTGTGATCGGAGCAACAAAGTTCACGGCACGCTACGCCTTCATCACCACCTGGGATCGGGTCACCTTCAAGGGATCGAACACTCACAACGACGGGGGACCGCCGGTCAGTATACGTTATATATATATATTATATGTATACTTTACGTATAAACTATATACGTCATACATTGTGGGCACGCGGTAGTAGTGTGCAAATTGTATCACGTGTCAGTATAGGAGATTGGGTCATTCTCAAAGCCATCGCTTCATTTACGATTATTAGTTAAACACGTTCCAAGTCGCCTGCGCTACAGACGAGGTGCACACGTTCTGCGTACACAACTATGACGTCATCAGGTGGGCAGCCAGCGCCAACTCTGGAGGTCACCCGGACACAGGTCTCGGAGGCACCTGGGGAGCGGTCGTAAGTCTATTGTCGTTATTCAGTATGATTATGATTATGATTATGATTATTCTTATTCTTATTCTTATTCTCATTCTCATTCTTATCCTTATCCTTAGAGAGAGAGAGAGAGAGAGAGAGAGAGAGAGAGAGAGAGTCAGAGAGAGGGAGAGAGAGAGGTATTAATATTTCTATATTTTTTCAGGTCTTTTATAGAACAGTAAAAGATCGCATCACATATACTCCGGAGGAGGAAGCACAGAATAAACTCGACAAAGAACTCTTGCTGCAGATAACAGCAAATATTCGCGAAGGTAGCATATCTTTCTATGCTACAAGAAACAGTAACCTGCGCCAGCATTACGGTCCTAGCAAGCGTCGCTTCTTATCTCATATCTTGGTCTGAGCAAGCTTCATCCTGTAGTCGGTTTCATCATCAACATTAGCGTCAGCGCCTGCGTCAGCGCCTGCGTCAGCGTCAGTGCCAACGTCAGCGTTACCTTTGACGTCGGCGTCTGTGTTACATAATCGTACCTACAACCGATCCCCGCGCGTCGTTTCAAATAACTGTAACACATGGAATAGCCCACGACGCGCCGCGCAGTGCAAATTTACGAAAAAAGTAAAATAAAAAATGCAATACATACATAATTAATCAATAGCGGCTCTTCGATCCATGTATTGATCCATTTCATGGGGGATATATATATATATATATTTACATATAGCACAAATATACGTCATATATAGGGTCTTGCCCTGAGGTAGCCGTGTAATGGTCGCGAGTCGTGACAGGTGTGATATATCCCTTATACAGGTGTGATCGGAGCAACAAAGTTCACGGCACGCTACGCCTTCATCACCACCTGGGATCGGGTCACCTTCAAGGGATCAAACACTCACAACGACGGGGGACCGCCGGTCAGTATACGTTATATATATATTATATGTACACTTTACGTATAAACTATATACGTCATACATTGTGGGCACGCGGTAGTAGTGTGCAAATTGTACCACTTGTCAGTATAGGAGATTGTGTCATTCTCAAAGCCATCGCTTCTTTTACGATTATTAGTTAAACACCTTCCAAGTCGCCTGCGCTACAGACGAGGTGCACACGTTCTGTGTACACAACTATGACGTCATCAGGTGGGCAGCCAGCGCCAACTCTGGAGGTCACCCGGACACAGGTCTCGGAGGCACATGGGGAGCGGTCGTAAGTCTATTGTCGTTATTCATTATTCTTATTCTTATTCTTATTCTTATTCTTATTCTTATTCTTATTCTTATTTCATTTTATGAAGCATTTTCTATAACATGTTTTTACACATTTATGTCTTCATGAGTTGTCTTATTTCATGGCGTTCCACAAGACGTGCGAAACACTATTTTAATAACCAAAATTGAAAGGCGCGGTTTGCTAATGCGGTTAAAAGACATCCGTTCTACACCGCAAAAAATGCACGGTGTAAGTAAATAAAATAACTGTGAGACATTAAGATTGAAATTTTTATGTCAAACAGCTAGTGTGTATGTACTCTCTACTTTAAATAAATCATTTCAACACAAAATTCATTTTGATATTGCAAATAGCGATTGAGATCAATTTTTTCGTATTGAACTATTCCTGCGTATATGCTTCCCAATTTTTGAAAAATGCGTGAATTCTTTTGGCGAATAGTAGTAAGCATGTGCGGTAACAGAGCTGATGCTTTAATATATCATTTAATTTTAGGAATGGACATATAACATTTTTGTGTGAAAATATTCCCGGTTGTGTGTCCTATACAGGTATATCAGCTTAACACAATTTTACCTGTATTTATTACATTTAGCATCATACACTATGGTTAATGCGTGACACTAGCGCCGACTAACGACAAAGAGATGTATAAATTAAGTGCACTTGACCACGCTGGGGATACAGATGTTGAGAAGATTGGGCTCATTATCATTAATTAAGGGAGACAAGAAAAACCAGATTTCTACGATAAAACTACATCGAAGTATACTCTCTATATATTAAATATATGATCACAACAAAATACAATTTTTTTTAGCAGATAGTTGGCAAGCGCAGAGATACGCATGACGAACGTTATAATCCATCCGAGGTTTCCATGAGTGTTGGAAGATTTGCCGCCTTGCTAAAGTGAAGCATCGGGATCGACATTTTCTATATCGAAGGACTCCCGAGTATATGACTTCCACAGGCATGTTACTATGTCTACTGTTTCAATAAAATTATGTGTGCACCCCCCCCCACTCAGCATATTAGGTGGCCGCCTACTCTTGTTTCCTGATTTTAAAAACACCCCCTATCTCATGAGGGACGATAATTTTTACCTCCTTTTTCGCTTGCTATTTGTCTTTTTTTATACCCCCTATCTCAGGACTCGGTAAAAATACACCCCCTATCTCTGGACTCTTCAAGAATACACCCCCTTATCTCAGGATTTATTAAAATGCACTCTTTTATAGCAGTTCGTTGGAGTAATTCACAAAATGAGACACTCTTCTGAAGATTTCGAGGTGCCTTACTTTATTTTGAGCCTCAGTTTTGCACCTCTGTAGACTAGTGAACACATCGGCGGGAAAATAAAAGTCGGCGATTATCAATTCCTTACGGGCTGGTTTGAAACACCCCTTCTTAAAAATATCTCCGGGCCAGTTGAAAAAAATACCCCCCCTTCGGTGTTTCTACGGATAAACCTGCTAAATGTACCCCTTTTTAAAGGATAGCTGGACAAAACGTACCTTTTTTCGAAGAAATTGGGAAGGCGGGTGCGGTGCATCCATACCCACGAGTGTGGGGGGGGGGGCACCTGTTTCATTTGGCATCATATGCTGGTGGGTGTTGCTATCCCCCGGGCGTGGAGTGCTACCGAAACGTGGCAGCACTAGTATTAGGATTAATATTAGGATTAATATTAGCACTAGTATTAGGATTAGTATTAGGGTTACCGTTACTGTTAAGTTTTGAAGTATACGTCAACTGTATCACGTGACTCTCACTCCACGCCCGGGTGATAGCAACACCCGTTAGGTATGTGTGTAATGCTGTTTACACACATGAGTGTTCTCATCGATAACTCAGCGACATGATAAACCACGTGTGGCGGAGCTGCGCATGCGCCTAGCGAGGGCGTGGGTTTCGACGTTGGCGTACTTTGGCCGGCGTCTCTCCTACACGCAGCAGTAGTCAGTTTTCGAAATGTACTAGGGCGACACGATGGGGCCGCCTTCGTGTGCGACGATATTTCACATACTCGCTTTTATAATAACGTGTGGAGTGATTATACAGACAACCGTACACGCACAAGGTAAGTGTTGCTTCGACTTTTCGACGTTAGGCCTCCGCGTCCGCCTTCTTCATGACGATTACTGTGACGGCGACTCACGACTGTGACAGAAACGCGAATCGGGGCAGTTGTCATAAGTCGATCGTGGCGAAAGCACCGGCCTGCGGCGCCTTCCGTTCACGCTCTGTAACTAAAAAGCTAGGAGTCTATGAACTGATTAACAAACCAAGATGTAATACCTTGAATAAAAATGAATTCATCTTGGGGTGTATAAGATCCCGTAATGCGCGAATGAGCTGTAATATTGGTAGATAGACAGCTGTATAATAAGACAATGTGCGCGGCGCGCTGGTTAGAGCAACTTTTCCAGTCGCACAGCCAAATAAAAAGTGAATTATTTCGATCTCCACGGTAGTTCAATGCGCGTTAAATATAATCAAAATGATTAATTTACTGGTTAGATATGTCGATTCTTTGTCTTCGATTTGCTGTTTGTGAACTATGACTCGGACTTTGTACCAAGTGCGCCAACGATAGCTAGTCAATTTCTTGTAATAACAGCTCACGCGCTTTCGTGCATGTCGTACTAAAATGAAACCGGGTGCTTTATGCATTAACTTTCTCGTCCATGGGGCCATTATGTGGTTATTAAGGCTACGTGAGCGTTATACCTTCCCATAGTTATATAATCGGAATTTTAGCGGGAGATATCGCGGCATGGTTCACGGCGATAGCGAAAATATTAAACATGTGAGGTAATTTATGATCACGTGACCAGCAACTAACCGTATGTGTAACGATAAAAGTTTGTTGGTTAAGAAATAGGTGTGTGTTTATATAACATGATTCAGTCATCTATATACAACATTGTATATCCTCGATAATTGAATTATAGTTGTTGTTTCGCGTATCCCTCATCATTTTCTTTCAACCCATCTCTCCACTCTCATCTCTTCCTCTTTACGCGCTATCTCTCTGCCTGCCCACTTGTCTTCCCTTTTCCCACTCTCCATTTAATCTTATTTATCAGACATGTTGCCACAACCTTCTAATTCTAACTCCCTGCATCTGCTGCCTATGTCCTTTCTCTCTCTACAGTCGTCTTCTGCTCACTTTTGTTCTCGCTCTCGCTATTATTATTTGTCTTGTTTATATGTTTTAGTCACTCGAGCTTTCAGCTAAACTAATGACGATATATATGCTGGCAATATCTTAAATTATACTAAACCAGCTTCAACTTAATCTTATTGTTGCGGCTTTCTAATAAAGTTAAATGAACGAAAATTGAAGTTGAAGATGAAGTTGAAGTTGAATTTTCACTCCGTCTTGCTCCTAACACTCTGAATAGTGTTACTAGAATACGTACTAGAATACGTGTCACTAGAATACGTACAGCGCGCACTATCACTCTTGTTTGTGCCAATCACTGTTGACTCGCCGGCTAAATATTCGCGCACACCGGCTGCAATATGCACGAGATACTACAGTTTAGCTTCGCTCGCGGTCCAAAGGTAGGGCAAAGTATATTTACACTATGCTCCGAGTTGCCATATCTGGCGGCCAGCGTTACTCTGCCATTGCGCACGTCTGTTAGTCAAATATCCGTTATTTGCGAACGTCGGCATCACGGCAGAACACAGATAGCGGCGCGGCCATGTTGGTTTGAGTCAGGTGGATGCCATCTGTGTGACACATGCCCCTTCGTTTGCACACCGCACGATCGCACCTAGTGCTCCCGACGCCGGCCATTACAATAAAATATTATTAAATATGGCCAGTTCACTAACGATTCATTGCTATGCTCGCCGAATGTATTATTATTGTAGAAAATCAATGTATAGCGTGAGATGAATGCGGAAGATTGTGGGTAAGGATTATTAACGTATAAATTATTAATTATCGGATGCATTACTATACATATTTACAAGAGCTAATAATACCTAGAGTGTACAACGGAAAAACGGGAAAATAGTGCTATTTCACGACAACATTATTCTACTTTGCCTGCGAGTCTATAATAATTTTGTGTCGGTGGTAGTAACTAGTCGCAGCAGCAGCAGCAGCAGCAGCAGCAGCAGCAGCAGCAGCAGCAGCAACAACAACAACAACAACAACAACAACTGAAGCAGCAACTACGATAACATCAACAACAGTAGCAACAGCAACAGTAACAGTAACCGTAGCAGTAGCAGTAGCAATAGCAGCAGTAGCAATAGCAGCAGTAGCAATAGCAGCAGCACCACTAGTAATAATTAGGCGCCAGCTCTACATCTGTGACTGCGCTCACATTACACCATTGCTTTCGCTACCCTGCTCCACTGACTCCTTTCTACGCGTGCTACAGACCGTACAGCTACCCGCCGCCAATGGAGGTGAGGTACGACCGCAAGGCAACAGAGAAGGTCGAAGCCATCCCCCAAAAGGAAGCACCACCAGACATCGACTTGAGTTTGAATTACAACAAAGGTGAGCGACTTTATCAAACGTGAATAACGTAGAGTGCAAAATCTCAGGCAAACCGAGTGAAATGTCCGTCAAGCGCAAAGCCTTCCTAATTTAACGTGGATATTTTTTCACCACGTTTGCAATGAGGATCTTTATAATTTAAACTATTCGGACAGTGAACGTCATCACTAATGCCTGACGTCTGGCGTCTTGCAGAGGGGTCGGTTGAATCGACTGATAAACATTCGGTGGAGACAAATAAGGCCGAATCGGTCGTATAAGCAGTGACACCTGGTGGACCGTATGCATCATGGGTTTTCGGAAGAGATCGTCGTAGGAGATCGCACGTATTGAAGGAGATTGCATTCACTTCCACCAAGGCGAACCCTGTTCTTCTGACGTAATCGTCGGTGGCCGCAAAGAAACGTTTCGTCACGGTATCAAAAGAAACGTTCCTATGTAACTGGCGACAAGCGTCGCCATGCACATAGCATTGAAAATGGGCGAGCAATATTTGAAGCGCGGTATGGCGCAATTTAGCAGTAGGTGTGACGAAATAGATGCGGCAGGTACTCTAAAATAGTAGCATCGTGTAGAATATTTGAATTGAAAATGGGCGGATAATGTTTTAGTAATGCGCAGCGGTGTCCGATGGAAGATCATGACCTAGTCAGCGCCATCAAAGCATAGGCCTACAATCGGCGTAAGGTGTTGTCTGACGTGTGTGTTTTGTCTACCTCATCTAACCCCTGACCAGATTCGTTAGACTACAAACGGCCGAGTATAACCAATATTTAGCGTTTCGGTACACGTCCCGCGTTTATCTATATGCTTGGCCCTACCCATGCAGCCCTTCAGTCCGCCACAGGGCGGCAAGTTCATGATGACAAAGGTAGAGCTACAATATGCTATGCCGCGTGAATGTAGTAGCTCCAAGAAACGGTAATGCTAGGGTTAGAATAGACAATCCCTCTGTATAGTATCCGTCTGTATAGACAATCCGTCGCACAGCCTGGTCGGGCTACACCCCTAGTAGTTTCAGCATAAGCAGCAATAGACAAGTGTACAGACTATTTAGAATGTGCGTGCATTTGAATTGATTAGCACCTTGCACCTTCGTTACCTATCCTGACACTGCCTATAATGTTGAGTAAACGACTCCAAGGCAGTAATAGTGTCGTGGGATTCCTTATTATGTCCGCGAAGTAATCTACAGCAACTTGTGGAATTCGTACATGTAGCCAAGCGGTCTTGGATTATTAACATAATATAGTTAGCGCTAAATTCCGACGCTGTAATGTGTGATTTACGTGCCAAAATGACCATGCGTTTTCTAATGCCAATTCAAAGCTCTGTATGTAAAGGTCATCAAAGGACATGTGGAAATGCATGGCATACCTAGCGCGCCAACCTAGTAGGCCTAAATTTACATAGCTCTACATTCTTATATTATATTCATATATGTATTAGGCGATTTCAAACATAGACCTTAGCTGGTTGTATTCTTTCATACGTTTTAGGTTGTCTTGATAATTTAAAATGACACATTTATAATACATGAATTTTAACGGGTATTTATATTTTAATAACTTCGGGTGATGAATGTAATTGGGTATAACTTGCATGATTGAGGTACATTTTCATGAATAAAACCATTTTATAAAAATTAAGAATTGATGTCAGTAATATAACTTAAATTTATACTACCCCTCCTCTCTCTCTCTCTCTCTCTCTTTTCTTGTTCTTATTCTTATCTTTATCCTTATCCTTATCCTTATCCTTATCCTTATTCTTATTCTTATTCTTATTCTTATTCTTATTCTTATTCTTATTCTTATTCTTATTCTTATTCTTATTCTTATTCTTATTCTTATTCTATTTATATATATTATAATGCGAATATTTATGTCCTCACTGCCATCATTAGCTATATATGAGGCTCGCTTTGCAGAAAAACACTGCATAGTTATGACATCCCGATATCTAAGATGTCGTAACTATTGCACAACACTTAACACTAAAAGTTATTAACCGTGACCGTGGATCATAACCATTTACGATGTTTCTGACCACGGCATTCTGAGTGCAATCATCCATCTGGCCTAGCATTGACGGCGTGGCCGCCTTTGCTATGTTTTCTTCTCCCGTAGATCGGCTTTAACGCCGGTAACGGCAGTGAGTGGTGGGGTCTGGCTCCGTTCTCCGGCACGCAGGGAGTCGCTAGGATCGACGAGTTTACGAGCGTCGGCGACACTCCGGGCAGGTGGGTCTTCCGCGTCGACGAGGTCATTGAGAGAGGAGGCTGCACGAACGTGACGCAGGGTGAGGCTTCAGCTAACCCCCGCCCCCCACAAACATAGCACTAGCCTTTATCCTTACCCTAACCGCGTCTCTAACACTATCCCTGACCAGAACCATAGCAATTGTCTTCACTCTTATCCTAACCTCATTTCTAACGCTAACTCTAACCACACCCCACGACGATAGCACTATAATACTTACCCTACCCGCATCCCTAGCACTAACCCTTATCATGATCATAACCCCAATTGTAAACACAATGCTAACCCTAACTGAACCTTAACACGCTTTTCCAACCCTAACAATAACCTTTATCGTAGCCCTAACGAGAACTATAACCCTAAACGTTGCCATAACCATAAAACTACTCGAACACAAATCATTACACCATTGTTGATTAGGTTATTAGGTAGCAGTCCGTAATTGCATAAATATTAGCAGTCGTGCCAGCGTCTCTCGAAAAGTCACCACACGGTACTTTCGCCGTTCAGTAATAAATACTTCTCAAATACTAAAATCTCAAATATCTCAAAATACTCAATACTCAAATCTAAATCATCTAATTAAACTAACGTAAGAATGTACAAACAGTTGATTAATAATTGATAAATAGTTAATTGTCTAACTGATTTAGGTAGTAGGTCTATAACTAAAACAGACATCAAACTCACATAGGTGCAATAAACCAGGCAGGGTGATACAGATGTGATGACACAGGTATGATAATAAAGGTGTGTCTGTATTTACCTGCGCAGGTGTTGCCCTGTCCTATCCATCGGTTGGAACCATGTTTGGCGGTGAATCCATCAACATCTCCGGACCGTGCTTCGTGTACGGACGATCATGCGATTCTACAAGCTGCATCTGACTATGTCAGATGAGCTAAAAATGATGGTTAATAAACACGAAATGTATTTACTACCAAAGTCTTAATGTTTCTCTATACTCTCTTTCGCCTATTATTGCCGATAACTTCCTGTAAATGGCGTTCAAATGCTCCTCTGCAGCACACTAGTACTAGTATAGGGTGTACACCGCACGCGCGCCGTCGTGCACAATTGTCAATTACAACAAGAATGTAGAGCAGGTGGGAAAGCTTACGAGATAGTCGAGTTCGTGCGTCACGTCACGATCATACTCTAAGCGATGGAAACATATGCCGACGAAAGCATACACGTAGTGGCGGCGCATTGCATGCCAGAATGAGCTGCTGCCTGCCTCCGATATCCATATCGAGGCCCGCTAAGCTAAGCATAATACGAGCGGGCATAAAGTCACACAGACAGCTACGTTCATTGGCTAAAACAATCGAGTAACGCGGTTAGGGATTTTCGGAAGAACTTGGAAGAAACTTCGGAAGAAATGTTCAATGAATGACGCACTCGTTCACTTCCAAAACGAGTAAAAATGCTCAAACTTTTCCACTTCGATTCGAAATGCATCAGCCGAGCATTTCATTATTTACGAAAAGTAAACAGGCTGGTGAAAGACAGTAGGTACAGTAACTGGTCACGTCGGTGACGCCCCATTCATGCCCATCAACGAAGAAGGCGGGGCTTATTCTGATTACGGAGATGCAAAAATGCGACAGAAGGACGTAGCACAGTGCGCTAAACAGCGTGTTTTCGTATTTGTGGCAAACTCTATCATAGGAAACGTTTCTAGCATAGCAGAATGCCCTAGTTCCTGAGATCGGTGATTTGGTTGTCCAATGGGTCCCCATATTTAAAAATATAAAAGACTGGTGCAGCGTAGACTGTGATTGGAAGACACATAGTGTCAATCCTCGGCGTGCCTCGTCATCATGGCTGCATCACGTCGAGCGTTTTTCTATAACTCAATTCTACTGTTATAATGTTCATGGGATCTGGTTTACATATGCGTTCTACATATGTGTGCATATACGTATACGTGATAAATACGTATCTACGACGCGCATGTGTCGGACACAAAACAACAACTTATTTATCAACAGATCTGTTTGCCAACTTTCCAAAATGCCAAATTAGTACAGTTCTCTGCCCATGATCAATAGTATGTTTACGACCGTAATTCCCATAATTATTACCAATAATTTTTTTCCATTTCATAATCATAAATGCTAGGTATACTAATAAACGAATAACGAAAAACTTCTTTATATATGACCGACATTTTTGGCACATACACATTATTCTCATGAAATGGGAGGTTTTTCATCACGTCAAAAATCACGAGTCGGCATACATTTTATTTTATGAATCTGGAGCCTTCCAACACAAGGTTTGAGGTGAGGCGCATAATATATATGGGCAATTTAAGTGATTAGCATGCAATACACCGTTCCAGTATAGCTACTAAAACAGCAGAGATTGTAACCCATACCTCCGACTTTTTACCACTAACCAAGTTAGAAGGCGTAGCTATCAAAGCTCCCCTGTTAAGCAAACATTCCTCAACTGTTTGTACGAAATGAACGAGGCACCGGCACTGAGCTAGAGCAAACAATTACTCAGCCGTACCGTACAAAGATCACTTGCTGGCAAAGCTAACCATTGAATTCGTGCACAGACAAACAGATTCCGGGGTGGCAAATCATCGCACGCATGTCAGTAAACAACCACGATTCGTTTGATAGAACCCAATGAGTAAGAACTGACTGGAAATATTCCAACATCATTTTCATCATCATCACTGCTAAAATAAATGCTACAAACAGGCGCATGGGGGGGGGGACGTAGACACAATAACCTGCATATACGCTTTCCCATTGGGTACACTTGCTAGTAAACACAGTGTTCAACACCATAATGTGGGAGAGCTGCCCACACACTTACAGCTTGGGAGGGGGGGGGTGACTATAACTTTGCATAGACGAATCCATGGTTGAGATCAGGATCCCACTTGCTTTCTGTTAGCAGCACCGGTAGATGTGCCTGCGTCGCCCAGTTCAATGTTGCCCGTCACGTAAACTATGTAGCACTGAAGAAGCCCGATGCCCTCTCCTGTTTTGGAGCTGAAATGTAAAAGGTGTTACAGTTGATGTCAGTTGTAATGTATTCAAGGCAAGCTCGAAGAAGCTAGAGAATAGCTCCTAGAGAAAGGATAGGCAAACGATTGCAATTACCACAAAGAAACTACAAAACAAAACAAACTCAGTAAAAAAAAACAGCTATGATGCCTCATGTACCTCAACTGTCTGACCCTCCTTGCCATCCAGTCAGTCTCAGCAATCCACCTGTACCCACACACTTATATTGCAACCATACATTACCTACTCGATCCTACTTCCTCTCTTCCATCCACTACCTCCTCATCTCTCTGCCACATTATGTCCAACTAAAGGGGATTCCAGCTATTTACTTCACCAAATCTCTCATACACGTCCACCATCCATCTATAAAAGTCTACTCCCCATTAATCACACATTCACTGTGTCACGGCCATCTTGTCCCTGACAGCGAATTACTTATCGCTCTCCCACTCACTCACTTTCTACCACACATCTACCGCTAACGTAAAACCACGTATTACCTGATTAGAAATGGCTGATGGAAGCAGCAGCTGGATGTGAATTTATCTCTCAGCTCCTTCACCTGAACTAGGGACTGGATGCGGCCCAGCATGTTCGTCTTGTCTATCTTGGTCATCACCAACTAAAAGTACGTGATATACATCCCATCTTCAACTGGAAACTGATGGTTAGATGAATATATATATATATATATCATGAGTACATAATAGAGAAGAGTATGACACTGTTTTAACAGCGTTTTGTGTAGTTTTCAACTTGAAATTATTCTATCAATATGTGAATAAATATATTCAAACTTTACCTTGTTTTTTCTCTGATTCTCCCTTAATCATATGACACCACCAGTTTACCAGAAAATCGTATGTGTTCCTCAAAAAAGATTCCTTCTTTGAATACGACACAGTTTCACACCGTTTTCCCACGATTTGCATCTCTCCGATAATAGTTGATATAGCGGCGGCAGCGGCTCCGGTTACTACGGAACGCTGGGGGCTGTTGGGAATATTATGTAAGCACAGTAACAGCACTTGTTTTGCTTCATTATCATCAGGAACATGATGGCAACCATGGCAAAACAGCTAAAATCAGCTGCTAGCTCGCCGTGAGCCCACATTTATTTTTAGCATGCTGGAAACACAATACACACTGCATACAATTCGATGCCTAATATCCCCAAGAACACATATAAGATTTTCAGGTAAACTGGTGGTGTCATATGATTAAGGGAGAATCAGAGAACAAAACAAGGTAAAGTTTGAATATATTTATTCACATATTGATAGAATAAATTCAAGTTAAAAACTACGCAAACGCTGTTAAAACAGTGTCATACTCTATTATGTACTCTTGATATGTATATATATAGAGAGAGAAAGAGAGAAAGAGACAGAGAGAGAAAGAGAGAGAGAGAGAGACAGACAAAGAGACACACATACATAAGCCGCGTTCACACGGAGCGTACGTCCCGGGTCGAAAACGATCCGCGTCAAATGCGTCCCGGGCCAAGCGTTCACACGAACAATTTCTCGGTACAAAAACGACCCGTGTCATTTCGACCCAGGTCGTTTTCGTACCCACTACAAAGTGAGTTCGAAAACGACCCGAGCGATGGTTCATTTTTGCCATGTGAACTCGCACCGGCACACGACCCAGGACAGAATTATTACGGCGGTAGACATCGCCAGTGTCGTGAGCCAGAGTTTACACAGAGTTGCTGTGCATTGATTGTGTTTAATACGCATTGTTCGTTTGATTGTTCGCTTGGATGCATTGTTTTTTTTTTCAACTTGCAGTTCGCAGCTCGCAGCTAGAACTGATCGATCAAACGTCGATCTTGTGAACGTTCGGTGTCGTTTTTGATCCGGATCAGTCTCGGATCGTTTTCGACCCGGGACGAACGCTCCGTGTGAACGCGGCTATACATGCATGCATGCAGGCCAACAGACAGACAGACATACATACAAACAGACAGAAAGACAGACAGACAGATAGACTGACGGGCACACAGACAGACAGACAGATAGTATAGATATGTAGATATATATAGCTAGCCAGCTAGATTAATATATAGATAAATAGATAGATCGATAGATAGACAGATAAATAGATAGATGGTAAGATAGATAGATAGATAGATAGATAGATGGACAGATTGTTGTTTAATATAGGTAAAGAAGTTTAATAATTGATAAAAGTAGTGAATTATCAACAGGCATCTACCGTATATGGTCTTCCAATCTCCTCCATCATTCGGATGGCTATCATGTCATCCTTTGTCACTCCCACTTCTCCACTGACCAGAAATATTGTCATTCGCAAGCTACAAATAAAAGGAAGGGCATGCACTCACTGCCAATCCCAAACCTCACTACAAAAGCTTTTACACTCCAGCATGATCCTGCCCTTCAGCTGCTGCCACACCACTTCTTTCATGACAGCTTTTAGACAAAGACTTGAGAAATGCTGAAAAAATGTCTATCCTTCAATGGAATATCATTGTGGAATGATCATGTATGAATAAATATATCTCATCAATTAAGAACAAAAAAACACATCACAGAACTTACTTTTGGCGATTTTTCAAGTACCCTTCGACAGTTTCTACAAAATGACGTGGTTGGTTACGACCATAGCCTGGCATATCAACCATGGTAAACTTGCGACCAACTTGAAAAAAATTTGCCGTTTTTGTGTGACCCTGTATAGATAATGACAGTATTAAAAGAATAATAGGTCCATTCATTATGCAATGTTGACGAATACTAGAGTAACTGGCACCTTGTGTAGTTAATAAGTACATTACCTTATAGCCAAACGCGTATTAGTTTGTCCAATATCACTGCTGGTTACATTACAAACAAGACTTGAAATCGATTGTTGATATGTATCAACGTATCATTTACGTGCCGCTATCATTACATTGGCTATAAGGTAATGTACTTACTAACAGTACAAGGTGCCAGTTACTCTAGCATTCGTCAACATTGCATAATTAATGGACCTGTTATTCCTTTAAAACATTTTATAAATGCTATTATGTTATCGCTTAACCATTCCAAATTGATTGCAGGAGATATATCTTTAAATAATTACTCAACACAAAGCCCATAAATATAGCCAGGGGTGCATAATGGCAGAATCTGTCATTATTCACTTCCTGAAATTGCCTACACAAACAGTACCTGTGTCGACTAGATACAATAATGTAACCCAACACAAGAGTAGAGTTACAACGCGAGCCTATTCTTTTATTTAGAGGAGCCCCCGAGTGTTTCACTCAGGGCGGATTTATGGTGCGTTTTTCGAGACTAGAACTTCCAAACTGGGTTTATTCTAAACACAAACCTTTTTCCACTATCCTGGAACTTACTATGTATCACAATACTCTGTATTAAACTAATATAACCTGTTACAAAATTTCGAAGCAACGAGCGGCGATATTTCAAGCGCCATTTCTGGTGACGCTGTGTGACGCTGGCTTTCCCAATGTGCATAGCGATCGGCAAACTTCGGTCAGCTTTAGTGCGCTGCGAGCCCTCAGATTGGTCGGTAAAGCCAGAGGGGAAGGATATGCGCCACATCCATGTGCTATTTCTCAGGCATCCCGTAATGCATCCGCTCTTCAAACCGAAGTTTGCCGATCGCTATGCACATTGGGAAAGCTAGCGTCACAGGTCACCAGAAATGGCGCTCGAAATATCGCCACTCGTCGCTTCAAAATTTTGTAACAGGTTATATTAGTTTAATACAGAGTATTGTGATACATAGTAAGTCCCAGGATAGCGGAGAAAGGTTCGCGTTTAGAATAAACCCAGTTGGGTGATATAACCTTATGACTTAACCAAGTCAAAATTGTAACGGAGTTGATCTATAGTAGTCCACTAGCCACCCCTATGTCTTCTTTACTGAACCTAGAAATGTTGAGTACTATAAGGTTTTATGTTGGAAATGCAATATACAGGTCATAAGAACTAAGAAACTGCCGGATGCTAATTTGCATATGTGTAGCATTTTGCTTAATCGGCCTAATTAGCATATTAATTAGGTCTAAGCCTAACCTCAACTAATCCTATCCTTAACTAATTCTAACCTTTTCTCGCAACCTTAGTACTTCTCCCAACCCTAACTAGTCCTGGCCCTCACCATAATTCCTACTAACCATAATGCTCTCCGCAACCCTGACTAACCCCTACGCTATCTAACCCTATTCTGACCTTACCCAAATCGTACTACTAACCCTAAATAATTCTAAGGTTAACCAATCCCAAGCCGATCACCAAGTCTAACCGTAAGTGCTTCCATTCCTGGCACTAAACTATGATCCCACATTGTGGTAGCGTACGTTATTATAGCCATTTCCATCTATCCTATACACATCTAGCGATTGCATTCGGCGATCCTCACTTCGTCACCTTCGACGGCCATGAGTACTCGTTCAACGGTAAGGGAGAATTCACGATGTTTAACTCTGACCACCACCACGTGGACAAGAACTTGAACTTCCCACACAAGATGACGATTCAAGGCAGATTCGAGCAGCCGCCCAACGCCACCGTCTGTACGTACGCTGCATGTGTTTTTTATGTATTCGGTCATTCTTTGTTGATTTACGCGCGGGTTCGTGTTGTTTGTAGGCTTGTTCGTTTATTGCTTGGTTGGTTCCTTTGTTGATACGTTGGTTGCTGGCACGTTTATTCAATCGCTCGCTCGTTTCTTTGTTCGTTCGTTTCTTCCTTCCTCCCTTACTTCTTTCCTCCATGCCTTCTTTCGTTCGTCTATTGATTAGACGTTTAATCAATTAATTAATTAATTAATCACGTTCTGCGTTCATTCATTCATTTAAACGCTTAGCAGCAGCAAGTTGCAACGGTCTATAAGCACCGGCAAACCCATGCATACATAACGACTACACCACAGCGGCCGGCCCATTGCGCTGCCCTTACTGATTGCCGACGTTCGTTACTCGATTATAATGTCTCGTGATATATTGTCTCGATTATTATGTCTCGTGATATAATGTCTAGATTATTATGTCTCGATTATATTGTCTCATGATCTGTGCGCTTGTCCCCACTGCTTGCAGATGTCGCCGAGTCCAACGCTACAATGCTGACGGCGGTCGTAGGCCGAGAGAACAACTCTGCGGTCGTAGAGATACAGTCGCGAGCCTACCACGCTCGTTGGCGCTCAAAAGTCAATTTTCGTGAACACAAAACTCAATTCTGTCAATCCTGTCCCACAAAACTCAATTTTTGTGAACACAAAACTCAATTTCGGTAATCCTGTCCCACAAAACTCAATATTTGTGAACACAAAACTCAATTCATGTCAATCCTGTCCCACAAAACTCAATTTTGTAAACACAAACTCAATTCTGTCAATCCGGTTCCCAAAACTCGATTTTGTTGCCCAAATATGGCACACGCATGTAAGAAGGCTACCATTGTCAGAAACTGGCTGGAGAAATGTTCACGGGTTCGCCATCTTGTTTCTTTAACTTAGTGACCATTTCTCCCAGCCCAGTTTCTGACCAATGGTAGCCCTTCTTACATGCGTGTGCCATATTTGCGGCACAGAATTGAGTTATTGTGTTTTCCAAAATTGAGTTTGTGGGGACAGGATTGACAGAATTGAGTTTTGTGTTCACAAATTGAGTCTTTGTCCAACAAAACTCATTTTGTCAAGTTCTATAGGCTACCAAAAATGCCTGTCCCTGCATGGCGCCCCGTACTTATGTCCCCCAGGGTACTGCCGGAACGTAACCTGGAGGTACGGTCGGTATACCGGAACGTACCCTGGTACTATCTAATGTGCGCCTACACCTACTTCCTAACCCTATACCCTAACCATAACCATATCAAATAGTTACCAGGGTACGTTCCGGGATACCGGACCGTCGCCCAGGGTACGTTCGGCAGTACCCTGGGGACATAGACCCTATGAGCCATAGCAAGCCGTGATAAATATATCAAATCGTCCAGGTTTTTTGGATTTTTAACTAGCTTGAAAAAACAATCTTATCGGGTAGGAATTGAGGATATATGTAGTCCAGTCAGTACTTACTTTTTATGTAAAAAATTGCAACAAAAGTTTCGCAAACATTCACACCATGGAAGAATTCGTGGCGTAGTCAATTTAACAGCTCAATCTTACATGTCATCACATTATGTCAAGGATTAGTGAAGTTGCTCGGAGCAAGGCACACGAGCAATTCAGCATCGCTTCCCAAGACATTAATGAGAACCTTGCTAATTGCGGTTATAATGAGAGATGCAAAGCAATCAAGAGTCCATAAAGCGGAAATTTTCTATTATGGACTCTTGAAGCAGCATGCACCATATGGCTATTTGCTAAGAAGAGAAACAACGCTCTCGCATCGAGGTGCTTGGGCAATAGAAGAGCAAATAATGCACGGAAACCACTGATAGACAACGAGGACAACACGCCCTGATTTAAACCATATGCACCATATGCATATTTGTATAGAAGATCAAACAACGCTATCGCTATGAGGCTTGGACAATAGAAGAGCAAAATATATGCACTGAAACCATGATCAGCCAAACGATCCGACACACCGACTTGTGCACACTGATAGCAGTTATTCTCATGTATACCTTTGCATGGTCGCCCAGCACTGTTAATGTAAAAATTTGCATGCCGAGCAGCACACGCATATCGCGTTGCTTGTTTTTGAGGGCATCTTTTCGACATCATTGATAGGTTTTCCATGAGGAAAGTTTTGATCCGTGATTTAATGTTTGCCAGCATCTGAATCGCGTGATGAAATCAGCCGTTGTAACTATGACGGGAAGAATACGCGAGAAAAATATAATTGAAGCTGATTGAAAAAAAAAATCAATAAATGTGTCGGAATAAAAATTCTATGATCTAACGAAACCGCCCATGCGTGGCAATGCTCAACAAAGCTCACCTGAACACACACGCACGCTACGCCACGCACGGCACGCACGCACGCGACGCACGCCACGCAGCGCACGCACGCCACGCACACACACACACACACACACACACACATTTCTATTAGTTAGCTTGTTTCATGGTTGTGAGGCCTTGTGAGATTATTTAGCGAGCAGTGATAATTAGAACTCTGTAGATCAAATAAAAATCAATCACACAACACAGTAGGAATTGAGACTTAGCCCATAGTAAACACAGTTATACTCGATTGACTTGTGCGTTGTGATCAGAGTAAAAAATTCATTTTTGCATACAATCTTCTGTGATTACTTTGAAATGATGCCTCATTATTTCTTTTGTTGAATTCTTTGAAACATTATTTTGTTATGCCAATGAACTTGTTCACGTATTTCAAAAACGCGTTCGTTGTCCCATGTTGGGTTCGTTGTACGCCACGGGGGGAGGGGAATCGCTGTAACTCAAAACCGCACACGTTTGAGCTTGCACTACAAACTGCCCTGTTTTTCAATATAATTTAAGAAGCGATCAGCACAGTCACAAAAACCTAGGTAAAATTTAAGCGTAATTATTAGCATCAAACGTTTTTTAATGCCAACAATAAACAGTATAATAGCGATACGGATATATTTCACACAGGAATATAACTGTGGGTGCTACAGTATGGAATCTACATCAGAGAGTGATAATAATAGCATTTATTATTATAATTAGGATCTATTTATTATTTTCACTCACTGAAAATAACATGGTGCTGTT